GTGCATACTGAAATTATCATAGTAAAACGGGGTGAAATGATTTTGAACTTCTATCCGTTGGATTACATGTACATTGTATAAACTATTATTGGATTACTGGTTACAGTCTCTCTAATCAAGGAGAGCCTGTGGACTAAGATTTTACCTTGAGGATGTTATGTTATTTCCTTGTCATATTAAATTAAAAAGGGGAGGGGGGAGGTTGGTTCCATTATGCTATGAGGGTTTAGCAGTGTCATTTCTCCAAGAATAAGGATGTGATCCAATGATTTTCTTTGTTGGTGTTTCCCCATCTTGCATTTGCAGGTGCATCAAAAGAGACTCCTATTGTCACACCTTTGATGGATTTTGTTCGACAGAAAAGAGCTGCAAAGGATGGATCTCGGGTATTATTTTCTAACTAGTTTGTGAAAAAAAATTATTGAGCCACTAAAAGGTGGATAATTCAGGAGTCTTCTGGCATGCTTCATCTTCAACTTTTTCCTGTGAACATTAGCGCTACACTTGGTAAAAAAGTGTTATGTAATTCATATGTCTTTTATTCATTCCCATAGCTAGACGTTGGGGATGGGAACCTGATTACCACACCTAAGAAGTCTTAAGCACTATATTTAAGGATGTCGCAATCACAGAATTGAGAAAAGTATCAAATTATTTTATTGAATAATTGAATCGAAGTCTAAAAGTGAAATTTACAAATGTATTTATAGTGATTACCACTAAGATTTCCCAAATGGGATCTAAGAATGTTAACACTAGTAGAATAAAGTTCGAAAGTTACTAAAACTATAGTTATAATCTCCTAAATAGTTAAATAGTTTCACTCAAAAAATTATAATTTCTAGTATATTTAAGTAATATAAACCTAATCCATTCCGCACCTTGGTTAGAGGAAATGCTTTCATGAGTTTTGAAGTGGCAAATAATTGAAAAAAGGATGTTCTCTTCAAGCTTCCCAGTGAAAATTTAACAAGGATCTTGGTAATTTCTTCAAGTTTACCTCAGTAACTTCTCCAACACTATCTTCAACATGTCTTCTATTAGTTGCAGCAGCTTGTACAATGCGTAGGTTTTGGATGGATGAATCTATTTGTGCATCTCGCAAGTGTACTTATTCTTCCAAAATTGCATTAATTTCATGTTGCACTATCTTGAATGTTGCATTAGTGTCTGCCTTATATGCACCTTGCCTAGCATTTCAATTTAGCATTAGTAACTATTTAAGAGTTGGAATTTGATGTCTAGTGAGGAAAGGACAAAATAATTGAAATCTTTATGGTTGAAATGGGAATTGACAAGGGAAAGTGGTTTGGTCAAACTTGGGTGACAGAAGAGTTGGGTAGGTGAGTCCTTGTGGTTAGGTGCTCAGGTGGCTCATGCGCCCGGCTTCCGGGCACTGGATAGTGATGGTTCTGTCAATTGACTAATTGGGGACCGGTATGAGATACAAATATGGGAAACATCGTGATCAAGAGAGAAACTGACTGGGTGTTGCTGCAGCAGCGAATGGTGTGTTTTTTACTAGAGTATTGTGTCGTAGCTTCAGGGGTGCTGATCAAAATATTTGCTTCTGATGGTGGCAGCTACTTCAATCACTGCACACTGGTTGTAGGTGGTTGTAGTTGGCAGTTGAGTTTTCAAAGAGGGTTTTGACTTTTTTTCCCAATACGGGCTTGGAAATGTTTGTGCGTAGGAACTTTTAGTTTTGATGCCAACTGTTAAAGAATAAAAACATTGCCTATTTAGGATTTGGGCGTAATAATTTAGATATCACATCTAGGGTTTGGTAGACATATATAGGAAGTTTTAAGCGTCACATTTAAAAGTTTGATTACATTATACAGCAAAAAATTGAAAAGTCTCAAAAGATTTTATTGAAAATAGGAATGAACTCCAAAAGTGAAATTGAAAAAGTATTTGTAGTAATCTTTCCTAGATAAGATTAGATTAAGAAATATTGAGAAAAGGGAAAGAATCTGGTTAATGTGTGCAATTTTTGTAAAAGGGTTGAGGAGACTTGTAATCATCTTCTGCTTTGGTGCCCCTTTATTCATAAGTTATAAGTTATGGTTTATGGTCTGCTTGGGATCAGTTGGGTTGTGGCAGGTTCGGTGAGGGAAGAAATTTGAGTGTGGAAGGGCATAAGTGGCTGTAGAAAGCAGATGAAGATCATTCCTCTTACCATTTTTTGGTTAGTGGGGAATGAGAGAAATAGGAGAGCTTTTAATGGGGTTGAGGATGTCGATGGTTTTGATGTACTTAAGAATGGATGGTTCTAGACCCTTGGTTTTTTGTAATGGGGTCATCCTTTTTGTTCTACCAAGGATTTATCGAATCTTGTGGATGATTTGATTGACATGTAAATTTTTTTGTACATGGATGACACCCTCTTAATGCTTATAGCAATGTACTTCATTGTTTATATTTAAAAAAAAAAAAATTTGGAAATACTAATACTAATAAGAATAAAGTTCTAAAGTTATTACAACTGTAACATTAGGCTTTTATATAGTATAATAATTTTATATTTAAAAGAATTATAATTTCTAATTTATTTAGGTAATCTAAACCCAACCTATTATGCATCATCTACTACTTGAAAAATACTCAAGAATGTGACCATATGCCTACTTAACTCTTTTTCATATTGCTATGCATTTTAAGGAGCTACTTTGGAGTACAATCTAGAATTAGATGTTGGATTTATTTTATTTGTTCAAAACATTACTGCTAAACTATCTCTGAGAAACTGATAACTATTTGAGGACCTTAGTTAAGAGTACCCTTAGATTCATAGTAAGGAGTTTAGTTTTCATAAATATTAGAAGTCCAGCAAGAAGGAAGAGGGAAAACACTGGTTACTGGGAAGATAAGGTGAACAATAAGAAAGCTTGTTCAGGGTTCCCTCCCTAAGAATGAAAATTCTGTTTGTTTTCCTTAAACTATGTCCAATTTGGTGGTTGGCCTGGGTGGAAGACTTTCCAATGCTAGCGTCAGTTTGCTTTTTGCTTTAGAATGATATGCATTATTTGGTATTTCAAGGGGGCAAATATAATGTTTTTGCTGTCTTTTGACATCCTTTTTCACTTGCCTAAATTGTTTCCATTATTATTGTTATTATTTTTTTTTTTTGGTGAAGTCTTCTGTATGCTATATTTGTTGAACTGGATGGGATGGGTTACACCTGTTTTTTAAATCCTATCTCAGGTTGAACATTATCAATTCTTTAGGGTAAGATAATATTAGGGAAGGAATAGGAATATTATCATTTCTATTTCAGATTGTTGCAACAGGATCTAACATAGTCTCATGGCCACTTGTATGCATTGAAGATGCTTCAAGTGCAACTTTCTATTTGTGTTATGGAATTAAGTTGATTGCATGCAATACATATTAATGCTTCCTTTTGCAAACTTTAAAAGAAAGTGTCCATATGTAGTGGCGACTTGGCATCCGTCAGAAGCAACTTCTTTTAATAGATTCTGTTTATGTTCATTTTTTTTATTACAGAGGTCTTCATCAAATGGCAAGCCAAGTCGAAGAGCTACTGGATCATCAGGTAGAAGTCCTGGGTCAACCTCATCAAAACGTAATTCTGAAAAGAGAAGAGTTTCCACTACAATGGTATGATCTTAGATCTTAGATCTTACACGTTTTTTTGGAGGAAGTACCCATGTGCATATGCTTTTCTTTTTGGTTGTTGAGTTTGTGTTTCATCCTACTGATACTGAGTACCTAGTGAAAATTTCGAAATTTAAGGAATAATTATTCTCTTTTGGTATATGGGGCAGTATATTTTGAGAGACAGTGTTAAAAACACCAGTAGCAAGGACAAGTCAGCTTATGTTCTTGTTTCAAAACAAGATGATCAGCAGCTTTCTGCTAAGCCAGTGACTTTAGGTTCTACAGCTGGAACTGAAGCTTTGGAAGAGGACAGTGGTATGGCAGTGAACCTGAATTCTAAAGCCTTATAATTATGTTGCTACATCTTATCGTCATTTGGCTTTTCTTGCTGTATATTAATTTAACATAAAGAACCTTTTTGTGTTTCTGCATGCACTCAAGTTTGTGTCAGTTTTTTTTTTTATTTGCTGGCACAATGATCTTCTTTTTTCTTGTTTGTTAGCTCTTTATTCATTTCTTTTCCCTCCTTAAATGTTTGTTAGTCTTCTCTTTTTTTTTTTTTTTTGCTTTTTTAATATTTTTATGTACCATTAATTACAAGCACCAAGGAGGTGCTAACCTATGTACAAAAGTATTTATAATTCAATCAGGATATCTATAAGATTCCCAAACTCCTATCTAATGTTTGTTTCAGGACCATCTGGAATTATTGATGGTGGGAAGAAGAAGGTATTGCTTCTAAAAGGAAAAGAAAAAGATATTTCGCATGTAAGTAACCCTTCTTAATTTCAGTTGTTCATCAGTCAGACTTATCTCCACTGGACGTATTCAGTGGATCCAACTTTTTTCTCCCGTTTCTCCTTTCCTTTCTCCGCAGAATATAATACACCTTTGCAATCAAACATCTGCTTCAGACTTCAGTATCCTGTACACTCTCTCCAACCAGCCCCAACCTCCAAACTTGGTGTTTTTTTTTTTGGGAGGGGGGGGAGAGATGCGACCAACACATCAATCCTATCAGTTTTGTTTACATGACCTGAATTTTGAATCCTGATTTGTTTTTGGGAGTAACAACTGAAAGGATGCAGTAACCTGATCCTTAAGATTTCTTGCAGGATGAATAAATTGGAGTTTTTTTGGTCATGATGATCTAAATTCCAGCTTAATCATTTTTGTTGCTTGTTTTATTACAAGGAAGCACTACCTGTCTTCTCATCCTTGCTGATGACAACTCTTATGTTGGCTGAACCTTTTTTAAGATGGGTTCTTCTGGTTTACACTATCTGATCCTGAATCGACTTCAAGTCTTGGATTTATGTTATATTATGTATTTGTTTTAGATTATGGTTCTACAAAATACAATCATCATATTAATCACCTCTAAATAATAAAGCTTGCTGACAAAATCAGAAATTTAATTACCTGCAAATACTTTTCCTGTTCATTGTCTCCCATCTGCTGAATGCTAATTAAGTTTCAGCGTGCTTGCGCTCAATTTGATTGAAACAAATCTACAGAAGAAATGTAAATAGTTTTCAAATTTTCTTTTCATTGACGCAATAAATTTTTACCAACTTGCTGCAGTAACACAAAGGAGAAACCGAAGTGGCTTTGGCATCTCTAAGCACACCTTTATTCTGGTCAAGATTGTTTGTTATATGTGATTGAAAGCCATATACAAGTTGAAGTGAATGTCTTGGGATTGAGTTTGTTTCTTATCAACAACCCTGCAACTTTCGCATTAACAAATTGCATATGATACTAACTTGCAGGTGAGTAGTAACATTTTACAGCGGGAGGGTGTAACATCTACAGTTAAAAATATACTTGGTTCAGCAGCTGGCAGGTCCAATCCACGGCGTGAAAGTAGTGGAAAGATAATCAGAAGCATACTGCTGAACAAGGAAGCTCGTCATGGTCAATCTTCCAGTCTCCAATCTGAGTCCCAAATGCAGACATCAAATCTTGAGAAGGACAAACGGCCTCCTCGTCCTGCACATACTCAATTGGTTTTGAAGGATACAAATGGGTCAGTGGAGGGTAAAGCTATTGGTAACGAGTTGCATGGTTTATGTGGCGAGAAGGCAGAAAAACGTACCAGAAATAAAGATAGACCTGATCGTAGTGTGTGGGCTCTTCGTCGTTCAGATGGATCATTTGCAAGTGATGAGTCTTTGTCTTCTGCTTCTCAACTTGGGAAGTCATTAGACTCTGCAGAAGGTATGATTGTAATCCCACAATTCTGCTGGATATGCTTTTGTTCCCAATTATCTACCTAAACGACTGCTATCTAACCAGAAATCAGTACCTTTGTATGTGCCTTCATTCAAAGAAAGTAGCTGTTCATCTTATCGCACCCACTAACCAAATGCAACATATATTTCTTGACAAAAACTCAGTTTTAACATACATGGGTTGGTACTGGCATATGGCTTCCAGGAAATCATGGAGATGTCAGGGTTGAAATTTCAAATACAAGGATTGGGGAAACTAAAATGTTTGGAAGTGGACGAAGCAGCCATTCTTCTTTGGATAACGGTTTGGTTTTTGTTTTGGATTCTTAAGTAGTCTTCTCTCTGTGTGAGATTGGCCCGTGTAACTGGTATTTGCTTTTGTGCAGGCTCCTCCCATAAGCATATCGGCCGTCGTGGACCTGCATATAATGCAAAGGATTCTGATGGCCCATCCACCATGAGTGAGGGAAGGCATGGCAAAA